ATTTGTTTCAAAATAATGCCGGATATCACGATACTTATAACAAGCTGCGTTAAGGCCGAAATGAAGAAATCAATTAATTATAAATGCAAATTTCTACAGAAAACAAGGTAAGATTTATAAATTTTTCTTATGCGTGATGCTTACCAGTATGAATAAAGTTTTTATTAAGAATATTAGGTGTATATGAGTTGATTGAAAACTATTCCCGAGACCTTGAATAACATTTCCAAACTTTTAAATGTAAGTGTAATAATAGTATATTCATAGTTCATGAATAGTTGTTCTAAATTACTGAAATAGCTGAATTCGTGAAAGATCTGTTTATCTGCAAGAACATAAATACAGAGCCAGTTTTCTCTCATTAATATTAATTAGTGTTATAGAATATTTTATGCAACTAAAATTTTATTAATTTCACCAGCTTATGTTTTAATATTTTAGCTGCTGTAATCGATTTTTAATGAAACACATAAATATCGGAATGTTAATTTTTTAATACCTTCCATTGCAGATATTATGAATACCAAGAGCTGTAATATTAAAAGCATCAGTAATGCTGAAATATTATTTATGAATTATTAGTTTTACATCTAGTACTGCAGTGAACTCAGTTGCACAAATCTCTATATTTTGCTTTTTGACATTTATATTATAGTATACAAAACGTGTTAATTTGCAGTTTATACTATTAATAAGATAATAACTAAAAATTAAATTTTAAGTTGTATAAAATTATATATTAATTTTGAACTGCGCAGAATATTGGCATCGTTATTCTTACATGATTTAAGGGGCAACTGCATTCACAGTGCTCCGGAAATTTGAATATTACGATTTTCAGAAACCAACTATTTATATTTACTGTTTTGCTTGTTAAGCTGATAAAATTATGACTTAAAAGTATTTATAGTAATTTTCTTTTCAGCGTAGAAGAGCAATCTATGTAAACATGATTTTATGTACTCATTTTTACCCTTTTTATAAATGAAGGAATTATCAGATCAAGCAGTGCTTAAATTGCGCCGGAGCCCGGCTCCGGTACTTCTCAATTTTTAAGATAAATTACAATTTTAGTCGGATCGCATCGGAGCCCTAAAGAAAATGAGCTCCGGTACTTCTTTTTATAAAGGGGGGAAAATTTAGAATTCATTCCTAACGTTTTAGTTTAACAGTAAGCAGACCTTGCAATACTCTATTTCCCTAGAAATACGAACTCATGAAAACATGAGACTTTCAAGTAAAGTCCACTCACTCACATGCGGAAACCTTTCCCTTTAAGAAGGGCAATAAATTTGGGGAAGTTTGTTTAAGAACGCGTAAATTTCTCGCCATGCCATCGTATCCAGTGTATTGTTATCGAATCTTACAGTTAGTTATCCTCGCAGGAAGGAAAATTTACGGTCTTAAATGTGCGTTAAGTAACAGCGAGTACAATAAGAGTGAAATACGGAGATGAACTGCTCAAACATCGTCTTATACATCGTCTTCCCACAGTATCCACTGATGGGGGGAAACGTAACCAGCAACTTAACATTCATCCTTAAGAGTCAGATTCAGGTTTCATTTTACCCCTGACACACATCAACTTGATGGCTATAATTATATCAGCAAAGAGCCGCGGTCAAAGAGAACGTTCTCTCTCACTAAGATTCCCCTCATTTTTTGTTTCCACCCACACATACCCTCATTCTGTTTCGCCCCAGAATTTTCATCAGCTATGCTTTAAGTATATTTAATTTTCGTGAGGATAAAAAAACCTCCCCTACGATAAGAGGTTAAATTGGGCCGGAGCGTACAGGATTTCGGCTTCGGGGCTTCTTAGTTTTTGTAATAAATCATAATTCTATCCAGAACGCACCGGAGCCCTGAATAAGAAGGCTGCGGCACTTTTCTGTAACTGAATCACAATTTCAGTAGAAATTTTATTTTAACAATAAAGTTATATTAAAAATCGCTTATAAATTTCATTTTATCTCTTTGCATTTTATTTAATTTTAATTATTTAATTACTTCAATTTTTAATTATTTAAATAAATAATAATTAATTACCTAATAATTATCGACTAATTTATAATTAATTAATTATATAGTAATTATTGATTAAATAAAAAACTTATAAACATTAATTAAATAGCTATTAATTAATTTGATAATAATTAACTATTTAATTTTAAAATAATTAATGAGTTTAATAATAATTTTATTTATTTATTTACTCTTGTTCCTCTTTGCTGACAGTCTTCCATAGGGCTCCGGTACTTCTAATTTTGGAAATTAAGCCCTGAGATCAAGGAAAGAATTCATAAATAAATATTAAGAATCAAAACATGGTAAAGCAGCGAACAGAAGAGTATCATGTAGATAGTAATAACATGTAAAAGTTACCAAAATTATACTAACCAAATAAATGAACAGTTAATTAATGGATGAAGTAATAATTAAAGATGAAATTCAAATTTCATAACTAATTAAAAATAAACAGTTTCCGAATTTTCAACACACCTACCACAGTACAAACTTGTTTGTTTACATTAGCAGTTCTTACATCACGTGATCTCCATACCATTGTCGGAGGGGACTTCAACGCCAAACACTCCTGCTGGAACCGAGGCCCTGCTAACAAAAAAGGAAATGACATATTTAAACTCATTCAATCAAATAATTATAACATTCATGCTCCAGACGAGCCCACCCATTACGGGTACAATAGCGCCACCACAATATACTTCTTCATCTCAAATAACATTACTAACAGATGCAATATCTCTGTAATTTCAGCTCTGTCTTCCGACCACAACCCCATTGTATTTGAAATCCCCATTAATAAATACCTCCCCTCACTTGACAGAAGTATAGGAGTTACAAATTGGATCAAATACTCTGAAATTCTGAATAACTCCATACAAGGTAACCCATGCATCAACAATACAGAAGATTTAGAACACGAAGTCTCAAAATTTACCAACAGCATCAATTTCTGCTTTAAAGGATGCCACCAATACTCTTTATGTGAACAAGCCTTTCCTTCCCCTGCCTGCCGATATAAGAAATAAGATTAAAGAGAAAAACCGGATCCGTAAAAGATGGCAAACCACCAGGGATCCACAACTCAAACACGAACTAAACTCTATGCAAAAAGAAATCAACAGACGAATCAAGAACTACAAAAACCAAAAATGGACCAATTTCCTAAATAACCTAGCTATAGAGGACAATTCCCTATTTGACATTTCCTGCAAATTCAAGAAACCTTATAAACCTATTCCACCTATCCATGGACCTAGTGGAACTTCATATACAGAAGAAGATAAAGCTAAATCTTTTGCGGACTATATGTAAGATACATTCACTCTTAATCCCACTCCGTACGACAATAACCATATTGAACGGGTCAACCAGGTGGTCAATAACTTCCAACTTCCTTAATACCCCTGCTCCGTACAAACTTCACTTTCCTGACTACCCCAAACAATCGTTGCCAACACACCATCAGCGCCTTACAAACGAAGAAAGCCCCAGGGCATGATGGCATCTCGACCAAAGCACTGAAGCATCTTCCGATCAACGCTCTTACCTGCATAACTAAGATAATCAACAACATTATCAAATTCGCTCATTTTCCTAACTCATGGAAGCAAGCTATAATTATTGTTTTTGCTAAACCGTAACAAAATCCAACTCTCCCACAGAACTATCGCCCTATCAGTTTACTTAGCCACCTGTCTAAAGTTACTGAGAAAATCCTACTTTTCCATATCCAAAAAATTCACCCTTCCATGAATTTTCTCCCAGAAGAACAATTCGGTTTTCGTAATCATCATAGCACTTGCCACCAACTTCTTAGAGTTATCAACATTATCACTGAAGGCTACAACTGCAAGCTTCCGACCGGTGCTATATTTCTCGATATCGCGAAAGCTTTTGACAGGGTATGGCATCTAAGCCTTATTTACAAACTAATCACTCTTAATTTTCCACATCATTTTATTCGCTTAATAGCCTCTTTTCTCAGCAACAGAACATTCAGAATCAAAATCGGTACTGCTTACTCTACCACCAGAGCAATAAATGCTGGTGTCCCACAGGAGTCGGCATTTTCGCCGTACCTTTTTAATAATTATACACAAGACATCCCTAAAGACCCTTCTGTTCATCTTGCACTCTTGCCCAGCTCTTCTTTATGCAGCACCGATCTGGGGACATGCATCTAAAACCAATGTTAAACAATTACAAATTCTACAAAATAAAATTCTACGAGAAATTATCAATGCTCCTTGGTATATTCCCAACATCTATATTCACAGAGACCTTCGAATCGAACTTATTCAAGAGTATATTAAACGATTAGCGGTCAACTTCTTTTATTCAGTACAAAACCACAGTAATAGCCTTATTAGCACTCTCAGACACTCCGCGCGTCCCAGAGAAAAACTTCGTTACCCTTGTGACGTCCTTCCCACATAAGAATTACAACTTTAATTGACTCATTCACGCCAAACTGACTCTGCGGTTTTACCACCCGCGGCTACATCTTATAACGACACTGAACTTGACACCCCCCCTTTTTCGCCGCCGCTAGTGCGAACCTCACTCTCTTTCACCCGCCTCCCACACTCCTTTCACCCTTCTCTTTTTCCTCCCACCCGATCTTTATCAGAAGTCGAGTAAAAAGATGTTTCTACATCTTGACACTCGAGAATAAAATACGATCTGCGTGTGTGTGATCTCCATGTATCTGGCTGCTAGGAGTATCTCTAGTAGCTGTAGTTATTACTAGCAAAAGAGAACGAAACAGATAACGGTATCGGTAAGATTATTAAACATGCCAAAATCATGTCAATATGATAGGAAAATAATTTCTATCTAAGAAATTAAAAAATAATCAAATAAATTCTAAATTGTGACTCAAAAGATTTCGTTCAAAGAAAATGATGGCATCAGAATAGGAAGGAAATACGGACCAAAATTCATTTTAAAGATATGGCAACAGTACTCTTGTTTGTTTGATTACCGCGAAAGTTGTTTAAATTTACGTCTACGATAGTTTTTATGCTTTCTATTTTTGCTCTCGTATAAGAAATCAGATGTTTTCTTAAGAATCTTTTCGTGTAGAACATTTCAGTGTCTTATGTGAATAAATGATAATTTATTTTGTGTATCAACTTAACTGTTATAAGAATATTTGTTATGCTCTAACGTATTTGATGAACTTCGTTATAATAAATGCAGTTTTATTGAGTTTTGTAAAGGGATTAGAATATCTCGGCGGCAGACTTGAAGAATACTGTTGGTGAGTATATTTAAGATTAAAATAATCATTCTGTTAAGTAAGTTTTGCTTAACTTTTTAAGTAATATTATTTTTGCTTAGCTTTAAAAATCGTTATTAATGGAAAAGTTAATGGAAATTGATCCGACAAGAAACTTTTTATTCAGTTTTATTTAAGAAGCGTTTTCATATCTCTATAATATTTTTTTGAACAGCAGTTAAACGCTGCTGTGTGAAGCCTTTGCTTCTCAGTTATATGTGAGTAAAATTCTTATGATGTCACTATTTGTGACACAACATTTGTTTCAGATACGTCTTCTTGTGCGATCATAAGTATAAAATAAACAAAACAGATGGCATAGAAATACCTAATCCATATATCCTTAGTGTCTGATATTTGACATAGTTTGTAGCATCTGTGAACTGTTACTGCTTGGCTGCTGATGAGCTGCATATCAATTGCAAAGCACTGAATAATGTTCCTTGCTTCTTGTTATGAGTTACATGCAAGAAAGTTCAGTTTTGAGAAGCAGTGAAAGCATGTCTTAGTAAAAATTTTTAAAAAAAAGTGAACTTTTTTTTTTTTTTTTTTTTTTTTTGTGCAACACATGAACACACACATATATGTATGTAAGTAAAATAAGTCTGAGCAGAATATAATTTATTACTAAAAACCGTTTATGTAATCAGGTATTTGCAATTAAGTTTCTACTTAAATGAGAATATTTGTTTATTTCATTTATGTGATAATGTATTTTCAGTCACAGTTTTGAAATTAGCATACTTACTCACATAATAGTCGCACCCCCGTTTTTAAGCAGAAAAATTTGTCAAAAGTGTATGATATTGTGCAGTAAATTTCCCCACATAATAGTTGCACCTAGACTTTCGCAATGAAAAATTGGCAAAAAATGTGTGACTATTACGCGAGTAAATACAGTAAGTGAAATGAATTTTCAGTCATAGTTTTGAAAGTACTTTGAAATTATGCAATGAAGATATTATAAAAATGGCTTTTTGATTTTATTTTTTTTAAATTTCCTTAGAAATTGCACTTTTAAAAACAGAAATATTTTGAAATTTTATAATATTGAAAGGTATTTAAAGACAGATCTGAATTTTACTAATTTTTTCCATCAAATAGATAACTTTGTCAAGAAAAGGGCTCATTATCGCATTATTATTTTATTTCTGTTATGCTTAATATTGTTTGCTGTGCTAACTTGAATTTAATTCAAATTCATTTTGGTTAATCTTCGGATTATGGTAACTTGGCGAAAATTTGGCTACCAACCCTGCTACAGCAAACTGCTAGTTTTTTTTTTTTTTTTTTTTTTTTTTTTGGACGCCATTTTGTTTTTACGAAGTAAAGGCGTGTTTTTTTTTTTTAACTCAACATTTTTTTCCAACAATAATGCTAGCCGAATTACGCGTATGCTAGAACTTTTATGGAACAAAAGTGCTTAATCATGGCGAAAATTAGGTGCGAAATTGAAAGTGCAGAATCGCCCACTGCTTGCCGCATTTTTAAGAACTGCACATACAAGTTATCATCCATGTACATGTTGACCTATTTTCACTTAAAAAAAATCCCAGAATTGCACAAAAATGGCATTGTGCACACTCTTGACTTTATCGATGTACACTGCTAAAGTCCTAGCTAGTAACCTTTATCGCATTACCAAAATGTCGCCAAACTACCTGTTACCATATTCCAATGATTAGCCTTTATTTTTTTTAACTGGTTAATTTTACATCTATATGCTTAATTTCTGTGGATTTTAACTTCCATATGCTTAATAAAGTCAAAAGTCGTTAATTCGGACACCCACAATCCGGAATGATCTATAATCCGGACCTCAAAGCTACAAGCTATCTGCGCATGCGTTGCATTGACGCATGCGTGTAAGACCTTCACGGCTGCAAAAATGCATGTGCGCATGCGCATAATACGTTTACGCTTGTGCGTCTAATGTATAACGGACAGTATAAGCTAAGCTAAAATTATCTAATTCACTTAATGTTGCAGATTGCGTTGTTCCTTAATTTTCGAATTGGATCCTGCTTATTATTTTTTGCAGATTGTTAGAGCAATTTTATAAAAGTGAGCTTGAACTTTCAATTATGTCAAATAGAATTTCCGATATATATCTAGTAATATGTAAACGATCTACAAAGCGAAAGTATGTTTCGAAGTCCATGAAACAAAAAGTGGAATTGCTGCAAAAAATGGATAAAGGCATATCCTCCTTTGTTTCTCTAACCATTCCGAAATCTGTTTATCAATTTCACACTGCTCTGCGGGGGGAGGGGGGAAACATGGCAGAGTGCAATGAATTGGAAGTTAATCTGTCAGCACTATTCTTATCTTCATGGCAGATGTTTTTATTTTATTTGGCTTATAATTCCTTACTAAATGTAGTATTTTATCTCGATGTACTCCGTCTGATATGATTTAAATCAAATTCCTCGTCATTATAATTCGCTTCCGATTAAGAAAAAAGTGACACAGAGGTTATTGAAAACTAAACAACTTACATTGAAAGAAATGTTTAATAAAGTAAACAAATAAATATTAGCTTTTTGTGTGTGTGTGTGTGTGTGTAAATTTTGATACCCTTTAGATCATAATTGTTCTTTATTTCAAAAACTACGGTTTCATATTTTTAATTTTATAATTTCTGCATGCCATCTTACCAGATTTAAACTGATGATCTATAATCCGGAAAAATCGATGATCCGGAATCGCCGAAGTCCCGACGAGTCCGGATTAACGACTTTTGATTGTATATTGTTTTCTCTACTAACTTGAATTAATGTAATTTATTATTTAACTTATTTTGATTATGTGCACTAAATGTCACATTTAAGAAGCTTACTTCTATGTGTTTAATATCTGATAACACTACATTGCTCATCATTGACGTTGATCAGCTATTGGTGAGCTTGGCGAGTAAAAATGCAACGGGTGCTTTGTGGAAGAAGAAAACCCTTAATAACACTTGTGTATTCTAAATTATTAATAATTTTATATTTATAAGGATTGTACATTTCGTATTCTTGTGCTTTTGTATTCTATAATGTATCAAAGATTATTAATGCTTTAAAAAAAGTCACGTCCCAGAGGAGACCTGTTAGCTAATTCGATAAAAGTTACTTATAAGGCAAGTTGGTAACTTTGGTGACTTTTCCAAAAAGGATCCCTAAACTATTCATGTTTATTGTAACTTGGCAAACGTTATCAAGGTATCAAAAGAAACAATTTAAAATGTAAATTTGAAACAGTAGGACTTATATGATACATTAACCTTTTCTTGGGGACAGATGTCCCATGCATTGACTACTTCAAAGAAATTTATAAGAAATTTAACATAAAGATTTAAAATTTACTATTTAATGGAGAGCAGAAATTGGTAGATACTGTCAATTTATTTAATTAATTCCATGCTGATTGAACTGTTGACTAAATGCCTTCAATATCTAAAAAATTTGTCTCTATCCCACATGAAAAGGTTAAACATAATATGATAAATTAAAGATGAGTGATGTAAATGATTAAATAATGTATATGCATTAAACATATGCTTTATATTTCATGATACATTGATATTGATCTCTTCATGTACACAGCAATTTGTTTCTGCTTAAAAAAGTCTGAGAACTGCACAAATTTGGCATATTGCACATTAAATGTTATATGCATTAATGTTTTTCTTCCCATCTAAGCACCAATATGTTTCCAAAATAAAACTGAGAATTACACAAACTTAGCCCTGTTATGGTCAATTATGAATGATTAAATAACAATTATATGATAAATATGAAAATAAAACGTGTACTATTTTGTAGTTGTTTATTTAACCAATGGAGGATAAATCTTCTTTAAGTCCTCTATAAATAGTAAATACTGTTTAAGAGAATTATTTCTGTTCATCTTGTGCTGCATATATTTGACAAGAAAGGAATAATTTTCGCCTTTCATTGCAAATCGTAGAAAGAAACCTAAATCGTAACTTTCCATTACTCTGCACACCAAAGACATAGAGAAAGTCAGAGATTCTTTTTTGCCATTTAAAAGATGCAGTTTTAAAATTAATAAACAGCATTCAAAAATATGCAACCCTTGTCCAAGAGAGAAATATCCTATAATATCATTCAGTTTTAAAAAAAAATAAGGTTTACAAAACAAAAACATTACAAAACCTCAATAAACTGAGGTTTTGAGATTAACCCTCTGAGCGGCATGGGTTTTGGGATTTGTCATGAAGACCTGTATTTAGCTAAATTTGTATGATTACTTATTTAACCTCTATTTTCATAAACTTACATTCATTAAGATTATATTTACATTATTAAAGAAAGTAGGAAAGCAAAATATCTTAAGCTAATATGTATCAAGTGACAAAAAATCTCATGACCGAATAAAACCAGCCATGCCGCTCAGAGGGTTTAATAAACCAACAACAAAATTCCAAAATTTGTTGCTAGCTTATTTAATCTAACAACAATATTGCCAAATTTGCCATGCCATTTATATTTCACATTAGGTAATTAATAATAATGGGTACTATTCAGTTTCGAGGGCCATAAAAAATCACCAAACTATTGTTGATGCCAATGCTGCCAAAAATAATTGCGGCAAGAAAGGAAGTATAATAGTAAATAACTATCTAAGATTTATGTTTTAATTTAGATGAAAGGTAATTTCATGTAATATTTTTATTATTATAATTTATATGAAAAAGGCTAAACATGACTGAGTGGAAGCATAAGAGTAAATAACTATTTCAGATCGTTATTATAATTTATATAAAAATTGCTAAACATAGCTGATTGGATGCCTGCATCGCTATTTCACTACTGACTTATCGCTAAAGCATAATTTCATCTTGTTGGTTGTTCAAACGTAATTTTCTATAATGAATGATGCCTTTTCTTTGAAAATATTCTCGTTAAAGTGCAGAATCGCTCACTTATTTGTTTGCCGCTTTTTACAATTGAATTTTTGTCAGTTTTCTTTTA